AGGAGGAAGAAGATGACACCGATTCTGACCATAGCGTACCGATCATCGATCTCCCTCAAGCCGTCGTCAACGAGTCCAACCGTGCCACGCCAGTGCCACCAGTAGCTACTCAACCAAGTGGAGATGAAGTTCAGCCATCAAATGAAGACAATCCACCGCAGCAAGTCACCGTTCCATCACCACCAAAGGAGCAGCAGCCAACAGTCACAAACTAGCCAGCTATATCAACACCAACCTCACAATTTCAACGCCAACCGGATCAGCCCACCACTACGCCATCAAACCCATCACCAGCCATCACTCCAGAGGCAACTACAGAAGCTCATCATCATCCCATGCAGCAGCAATCAACAGCTACAAGACCCCAAGTACCTACATCAACACCATCTACGACTCTTCCTAGCAACAAGTCAACCGTCACCGCAACACCTCGTTCTCATACCACACGTTCATCACTTGTTCCAACGTCAAGCCAGCTCATAGCACGAGGATCACTTCAGCGAGTCACCACCAACACCAGCTCCAACAGTCCACTTCTTCACCCAAGACCTTTCTCAACTTCACCCCCACGTCCCGGATTCGGTCGTCATCAGTTACCACCATCTTCAACACCGAGCAACAACACCAACCAGCCCCAACCATCACCACCTCTCGACAAGGCAGCGTCATCATCAATTCCCAAGCTTCTAGTCTCAAGATCCCCACCAAGAGCATCTTCACAACCAATTATGCCGACAAACGTTTCAGCTTCACCGCCACGAGTCACCATACCTAATCCTCAATTCAACACCGATAATCAAGATATTTCCACGCCAGGAGAAGAACAAGCAGCCGTGCCGCCGTCGCAGCCGATGTCGCAGCCGTTGTCTCAGCCGCAAATGACCGCATCAACGCAATCAAACACTGTGAGACCGAACCCTACCACTAATGTGTCTCAGCCAACTGAGGAGTTTGGTAAAGGTAAACGAGTCCGCAAGGTAAAAAAACCCTTCAATTTCATGGTTGACATGTCATCAAGGTGCACATGTGAGGAGAGTGAGAATTGCATTCACAAGAAGGTAGAGGCAATATGCATGGCAGCATCACACCTTCCGCGAGAGCCCTTGAGTCGTCGTGAGGCAATGGCAAGTCCCGAAAGAGAGCATTGGTTGAAAGCCGAGGAAGAGGAGATTGAGAGTCTCATGAAGCGAGGTACATGGCGTCTTGTTGAGCCACCTCCAGGGAAGAAGGTAATTGGTGTCAAATGGGTGTACAAGATCAAGGTAAAAGGTGATGGTAGCCTCGATAGGTACAAGGCAAGGTTAGTGGCAAAAGGTTATTCCCAAATTCCAGGTCTTGACTTCACCGAAACCTTTGCCGTGGTAGCAAAGTACACCACGGTACGAGTCCTCCTCGCCATAGCCGCATATCTTGGTCTCCATATCCATCAAATGGATGTCAAGAACGCATTTCTCTACGGTGTCTTGGAAGAAGAGGTATACATGGCACAACCCGAAGGTTATGATGACGGTACGGGTCGAGTGTGTCGCTTGGTAAAGTCCCTTTATGGTCTCAAACAGTCCCCACGGGTTTGGTATCATGCTCTTGAGCAGGTACTTTTCAAGCATGGTTTCACAAGGTCCATGAGAGACAACGCTCTGTACTTCATGCACACGAGTGAGGGGGAGTACATTTGGCTCTTGGTATATGTCGATGACCTCCTCCTAGTCTCAGGTTCTCTTGATCTTCTCAACAAGGTGAAAGGTATTCTCACGAGTGCATTCACGATGACCGATCTTGGTGAGCCGAGTCATTATCTTGGTATGAACATTGTGAGAGATCGTAAGTCACGGTCCATCTTCCTATTCCAGCAAAGGTACATCCAAAAGGTCCTTGAGAGGTTTGGTCTTGATGATAGCAAGCCATCACCTACCCCACTTCCTTCCAAATTTGTCCCTTTGTCTTCACCTCAGCCCTATGAAGAGAGAGAGTCAAGCCTTGATATCATAGGTATTAAAGAGTTGTGTCTTGAGGAGAGTGAGCATCATGGTGAGAATTCACTTAAGGTATCCCCACAAGACCTAGCTCTGTACCAAAGTCAGGTTGGGTGTCTCATGTATGCAGCCCTATGCACAAGGCCCGACTTAGCATTCACGGTATCTAAGCTAGCTCAACACATGAGTGCCCCTTCACCTATTCATATGCATGCAGCCAAGCGAGCTCTTCGGTATCTCAAAGGTACTTCTAATCATGGTCTTCTCTTCCAAGCCAGCCCATATGCAAGCTCCCTCCAAGGCTTTACCGATGCAGATTGGGCGGGAGAATTGAGCACACGCAAGTCTACCGGCGGCTACATCTTCCTCATGTGTGGTGCCGCTGTTTCTTGGCAATCGCGCAAGCAAAGTTGTGTGGCACTTTCAACAACCGAAGCTGAGTACATGGCAATGACCAAAGGAGCAAGGGAGGCAATCTGGTTACGTGGACTCTTGGAGGAATTGAGGCAGCCGCAAACTCAACCAACTCCGCTCTACGTGGACAACACTTCAGCCGTAGCTCTTTCCAAGAACCCGGTTCATCATGGGCGTACAAAACACATCGAGGTGCAGTACCACTTCATTCATGAGCAACTAGAGAAGGGAGTTCTCGCCGTCAACTTTTGCCGTTCATTCGATCAAGCAGCAGATTTCATGACCAAGGTTCTTCCACATGATGCATTCAACATGTGCAAGGCAAGAGCAGGCCTCATGACACTTCATGAAGCAGTGGAGCAGTTTGAGGAGAATGAGGAGTGTGAGGGGAAGAGACGTGGGCAGCAGCATGAAGTGTATGCTAAGGAGATGTGAAAGGAGCATCAGCATGGGTGTATGTGTGCTTCGGGTCTGGTGCGAGGGGGAGTGTTGGAGAATCGAGTTTCTGCCGCCCCAGCCCTTTGCACACAAGCAGCAGCAAGGGGGAATGTCGGCGATGAATCAGAGCTTCGGGAAGTACTTCGAAAGTTCCACCACCAATCAGATTTCAGCCGAAGACTCGATATAGTTCAAAGCTGCCTTCAAACCGAAGTGTTGGCAGTTTCTACAGGTTTCTACACATCAGAATCAGCTATAACAGAAATATCCAGAGTTTTCTTATTCATGCACCTCATGTGGCACTCAAAGTCACTCAAGGTCCATCCAATCTAGATTGTGCCCAAGTTACCAGGGAAGTTACATTGTCTATCAGCCTAGTTTGAGCTTTCAATCTGTCTTGTTTGTGATGCCTAGAGTTGTGCTTTAGTGGGCTTGTTAATCTTGAACATAGTGAAGTTTTACCTCATCCAGTCAATTCCAGCAGCCCTGCTAAGACTTTCCAGCCAAGTTTCCAGCCCTCCAGTAGTCACAGCTACTCTGTTTTACAAGTGCATCGAGGATGAGATCGACGGGGGAAATTGTGGTCTGAGACCAAGGCGCGTTCGAGAAGGTTCCAGATTCGGTCTTGAGGAGTGTTCACCGAATTCGGTTCGGTTCCGTGTGCGACTCGGGGTGAAACGAGGCGCACGCGGTTACTTGGGAAACAAGTGAAGTTATGAATCGCATTTTGTGTCTTGCATGCCTATAAAACTGCTTGTACTCATTCTGGAAATATAACATTGATCAGTTGGTGATTCTGAAAATTGCTGAAGTGTGTATTGACAACTTCAAGCAGAGCTACGCATATCGTTGGATTCGGGAGATCGTGTAGAACACGATAAGCAATAGCAAGTAGACTATTGCCGACTAAGGTGCTTACGATCCTAAGAACTGGTATCAGAGCTTGACGAACGGGCTCGTCGATCGTCGCGAATTCACTTGGTGCGCTAAGTGAAATTAGTGGAGAAGAGGAGTCGTTCACGCCTACGCTATGGGAGACGAGGCGAGTTCGGGTTCCAGTGTGAGTCTTGGAGACCCGCAGTTGAAGGCTCTTCTCGAGGCCCTTGCGAGTGGCCGATTGGTGGCGAAACCGACGATCGGGCTCAGTGAAGCCCAGCGCTTCAACGGAAGCAACTACAACGTGTGGCGGAAGAAGTTCATTCGGAGGGCAGAGGAGGTTGACCTCTTGCCGTACTACCGTCCCGACGAGGAGACGATGGAGGGAGTTGCGCCTTCCACGACGGATACGAAGGAGAAAATAGCGGCGTTCAAAAAACAAAGTAAGCAAGCGTTCTTTCAGCTTTGTCACTCAGTTGCCGATGGAATCGCGGTGGATTTGGACCAGTTTGCAGGGGAGCTGAACTCTGCACAGAAAGCATGGGAGTACCTGGAGTCCACGTAAGGAGAGTTTGACGAAGCTGCAGGAGATTTTACAGTCGCTTGAGACGATGAAGGAGATGAGGAAAAAGAAAGCGGCAGCAGCAGCTAAGGAATTCGACGAGGAAAGGCCGGCTATGGTGAATGCAATGAAGGCGTTTGGAGCGTGCTACCAGTGTGGAAAAAGGGGGCATAAGGCGATAAACTGCTACGAAAACCCGCGAAGCAGAAACTACAAGGGCAAAGCGATGGAGAACGATAAAGGAGAAAATGAGGGAGCGGAGTGGCAGCATAAACGAGTTTTTGGCGGCAAGTGCGATTATTGTGGGTGCTATGGGCATCGTGCCGCAGAGTGCTACTCCAATCCGAACAGCAGGAGCTACAAGGGTCCGTCGCAGCAGAGGAATGTGGCGGCTAAGGCGAATGTAGCAGAAGCGAACGAGGATGATATGATCCTTGGAGGAGCGCATCGTGCGAACGTGGTGCATTTACCAAAGGAGGTTCGGCAGACGGACGATCATGAGAAGACGGCATGGTTCATGGACAGCGGATGCACGCGTCACATGACATTCAGGTCAGATTGGATGGAGAACGTGAGGGAGTCGAGTGAGGATTATATACTGCAAGGTAACAGTGGGAAGTTGCCAGTGACAGGAGAGGGTGACGTGGTGCTGCAGAGTCCGTATGGAGAGATGAGACTGGAGAATGTGCTGCTGGTTGAGGATTTGAAGGTGAACTTGGTCAGTCAGTCACAGCTTGATGACTTGGGGTGCAAGATATTCTATGACAGTGGTGAGGTGACTGTGTTTGGTCCTGAGTGGGAGAAGTATGCTGATGGTTACTTCAGTGACGGGTTCTATGAGATGAACTTGGTCGCGATGAAGGGCATAGATGAGTTCTATGAGGACCGATAGTATCCTGAGATGGGAGAATTGGAGGAGTTATCGAATGAGGCTGATAAGAGCGAGGACACGGATGATACGGGAGCAAGTGTGGAGGCAGCAGAGAAGCAGGAAGAGGAGATAGTCACCATGGAGGCAGCAGCAGTGAATGGTGGAGATGGAGATGGTGTCAACACTTTTGCAGCAGCGATCGTGGTTGAAGATGAAGCAGTAAATGCGAAGTGTGTGGGAGTCGCTGTGAAAGGGGACATCGTGGTGAAAGGATCAAAGGCGAATGCAACTGCAAAGGGGCGAGTGCTTACAAAGGAGGAACACGTTGAGGGGTATGAGACCCGAGAGGTGTTGAGTGTTGAGATGCCGAGGAGAAGCGAGAGGCTCAAGAAAATGTTTCATGGATTGGATGTCAAGGCGCTCAACTTCAAGACACGTAAGGAGAGGTTCAAGGTGCAGGAGCTGCAGGGGAGTGTGAAGGCGACTTAGACCCTGTGAAGGCTACGAGGAACAGGGGAGCAGTGTGAGTGGTGTTCGTGGTTGACGAACCACAGGGGAGATTGTTAGGGTTGGTTCGCCCAACCACGGAACCTATGGCGAAAGTCTCTACGACGGCGGAATGCCGGCGAAATGAAAGCGCGTGGATGATTCTAGGTGAAACGGTGGAAATCAGCCTACGGCGTGAGAAGCGGGAGAGAAATCGAGAAGGAACCAAAGAAATGGAGGAAGAGAGAAGGAGAAGCATCGAGGATGAGATCGACGGGGGAAATTGTGGTCTGAAACCAAGGCGCGTTCGAGAAGGTTCCAGATTCGGTCTTGAGGAGTGTTCACCGAATTCGGTTCGGTTCCGTGTGCGACTCGGGGTGAAACGAGGCGCACGCGGTTACTTGGGAAACAAGTGAAGTTACGAATCGCATTTTGTGTCTTGCATGCCTATAAAACTGCTTGTACTCATTCTGGAAATATAACATTGATCAGTTGGTGATTCTGAAAATTGCTGAAGTGTGTATTGACAACTTCAAGCAGAGCTACGCATATCGTTGGATTCGGGAGATCGTGTAGAACACGATAAGCAATAGCAAGTAGACTATTGCCGACTAAGGTGCTTACGATCCTAAGATGTTTGTGACAACTACTCGGCGGGAAAGGATTTTGGCAAAGACACGGTTTGGGAAGGTACGCAGCACGGCAAAACCACTTCGCGGCCTCTTCCAGCATGATGATACCTGCCGTTGAGCAACTATGCACTGCCGTAAGCAAGTCAGGATACGTTTCTGTCACAATCTGATTTTTTTTTAAAAGTCCTCCTCTGTTGCAGTTCTTTCCAACAAGATTGGCGCTGGAAAGCCGTTTCCGTACGACGCGAGTGGCATCTACCTGCTTCTTTCCAGCAAGGATGTTACCGTCCCGGGTTTCTGTACCGAGTATATGGGGTGGCACAGCATGGGCTACATCGAGTCAAAGCCGGTTGTATTCTCGTTCGTGGGGCATCACGGGCAGTGCAAAGAAGAATGGATTCCGAAACCGTCTCCCAACGGCAACCCTGCGATCGATTTCACGCTTTCAACCATTGCTCATGAAATTGCGGAAGCAGCAACGGACCCTGATGTTGATTCCGGGTGGGGCGACGAGAACGGTGAGAATGCGGACAAGTGCTACATGGACGTTGGTCAGACGAAGACGGGCAAGGACAGCCGCGGCGGAACGTACAAGTACAATCTGGTTGGGATGAAGAGCATGAGGTTTCTGATCCAGAGTAACTGGGACTGGGAGAAGAACAGGTGTGTGACGCAGAGGAAGTACCAGTAAGGGGATGATTTATGTGTGCCATCATGCTCGAATGAAGCCTTTCTCATCTCTTCCTGAAGTCAAGATTGAATGAATCCGGTCCGATGCATGGATGTACCGTGAGATATAAATCAACAGCTCTTCTTTTATGCATCATGATTAGCCAAGCAGAGCCAAGCCTAGTCGATCCAAGCCTAGGAAAAGCAAGGTTCAACCCAGCCCAAGTAAAGCCATTCCAAGCAAAATAAAGCCAAACCAAGCCAGGGCAGACTGGGCAATGCAAAGCATGCTAAGCCGGGCTCGACCAGTCCAACCCAGGACAAGCCTAGCCAAGCCTAGAATCGCCAGGCCAGGACAGGCCAGACCAAGCCAGGCCTGGCCAGGCCAAGCAAACCCAAGCAAAGCCAAACATAGTCCAGCCAATCCAATCCAGGCCATGCCCAGCCATGCCAAGACAACTCCATGCATGCCAATCCAAGGCAAGCCAAGAGGATAAACCAAACAAAGCCAAGACTTGCCAGGACAGTCAAAGCAAAGCAAAGGACAAACCAAAACAGGCCAACTTACACCATACCAAGCCAAGTCAAGCCAAGCCAAGCCAAGTCAAGTCAAGCCAAGTCAAGTAAAGCCAAGCCAAGTCAAGTCAAGCCAAGCCAAGCCAAGCCAAGCCACGGCAAGCCAGGCCTGACTAAGCCATCTCATGTCCATGAAAGGCAGGCAGGTACAAACCAGGCAAGCCATTGTAAGCCGTTGTAAGCCATTGCAAGCCATTGTAAGCCATTGTAAGCCATTGTAAGTCACTGTAGCCATTTTAAGCAATTGAACGCCATTTTAAGCCATTGTAAGCCATTTTAAGCCATGCCCGACAAGGGCAGACAAGGGCAAACCATGTAGAACAAATCTGGAATAGCGAAGCCAAGCCAAGGCAATTTAAGCCATGCCAACCCAGGCTAACCAAGCCTAACCAGGTCAATCCTAGCAATGGTGGCCCGGCTATTTCAGATGAAAACTTTTCAAAGCAAGCCAGCAAAGGCAAGCCAAGCCAACTCCAGCCAAGACCAGGCTAGGCCAGGCCAGGTTAAGCCAAGCCAAGATAGGTTAGGAAGGATCAGGACAAGCCTCCAAACCCAGCCAAGAAAATCCAGGCCAAACTAGGCTAGACCAGGGCATGCCACGTCCAACCAAGGCAAGCCAAGCTCAGCCATGCCATGCCAAGCCGGGCTAGGGAAGGCCAGGCCAATCCAATTTACCAAGCCAAGCAGCCAGGCCCGGTCAATCCTAGAAAGGAAAAGCCAAGCCAAGACAAGCCATGCCAAGTTAGGGTATGCTAGGCAAGTTGAAGCCACGCCTGGCCATGCCAAGGCAAGCCAAATCCCAGCCAGGCAAGGTCCGGCCAAATCCAAGGCTATTAAAGCAGAGCCGAGCACTTCTGTAAATCCCGAGCCATCTCTGTGAAATGCAGTCGCGCATCCCTTTGGGGTCTCCAGGAAGGGGGGTCTTGGAGATGATCTTTCGCCTCATCTTCCAACAATCCAAGATCTGCCTTTTGAGTCGACTCAAAAGTCACCTTGGGGTCACCAGGAAGGGGGGTCACCAGGAAGGGGGTCTCCAGGAAGGGGGGTCTCCAGGAAGGGGGGTCTCCAGGAAGGGGGGTCTCCAGGAAGGGGGGTCTTAAAGATGATCGTTCGCCTCTTCCAAGAATCCAAGATCTGTCGCTACCATTCAAAGCCCTCGTTCTGTCGCGGTTGTTTCGAAGAGGGTTGGCCTTTGAGCACGATCCATCCGCATGGCATTTACTTGCTGCTTCTTACCAGAGACATTGTTGCCACCCCTGGTTACTGTTACTTTAGCAAGCTTTCCAGCTACCATGACATAGACCAAGCCAGGCCGAACCATGTCCAACCAAGTCATTCAAGTCAGGCCACGCCATGCCAAGGTCATGCCAACCCAGGCTAACCCAGGCTTACCCAGGCTAACCCAACCATACAGCAAATATTGGCTAAGTCAAGCCAAGCCATGCCAACCCAGGCTCGACTAGACCAAGCCATGCCATGCCAGACCAGGCTAGCCAAGCCAAGCCAAGCCAAGCCAAGCCAAGCCAAGCCAAGCCAAGCCAAGCCAAGCCAAGCCAAGCCAAGCAAAGACAAGACAAGCCAAGCCAAGACAAGCCAAGCTAAGCCATGCCAAGCCATGACAAGCCAAGCCAAGCCAAGCCAAGCCAAGCCAAGCCACGGCAAGCCAGGCCTGACTAAGCCATACCGGACCAAATCAGCCAAGCTAAGCCAAGCCAAGCCAGGCCATACCTGTATAGGCGTAACCATATGTAGCCGTGCTAGTAAAGCGAGCCTAAGCTAGTCAAGTCAATATAAGCCATGCCAAGCCGAGCCAATCCAAGCCATAACAAACCAGGTCAGGGTAGGCTATTCCATGCCAAACCATGTCCAGCCACACCAACCAAACCAAGCCACACCAAGCCAAGCCATGCGAAACCAGTCCAGGCCAAGCCAAAAAAGTTCAAGAAAAGCCAGCCAGACCGGGCCAAGTCAAGAAAAGCCAAACCAGGTTAAGCAAAGCAAGGAAAAGCCAAGCCATTTCAAGGCACGCAAACTCCTGCCAATCCACGCCACCCAAAGCAAAGCCAGGCAAAGCCAAGCTAGGCAAAGCCAACCTTAGGCCAGGCCAAGCCAAAGCCATGCCAGATCAGTACAGCCTAGGACAAGCCGATCCAATCCAATCCAATCCAAGCCTAGCCCAGCCTAGCCAGGCAGGGCTATGCTAGTTCAAGCCAATATCGACCAAGCCAAGCCTAGCCAAGCCAAGCCAAGTTAAGCCAAAAGGCCAAGCCAAAGCCAGGCCGTACCAGTCCAACCTAGGACAAGCCAAGCCAACCCATGCGATGACTAGAAAGTCAAGCCACCCCAAGCCAAGCCTAGCCAAACAAATCTGAGCCAAGCCTAGCCAAGCCAAGCCTAGACAGCGGTCATGCTAGGACAATCCAAGCCATTCCTGGTCAGGACAGGCCAGAAAAATAAAAAAGTGATGGTCCCCAATCTTCTTCCTTTGGCCCTCATCGCCCCACCCATTGCAGAAACTTTTGAGGAACCTACACAGAGGACTTTGCTGTTGAATGCTTTTATACCTGCAGATCTGACAGGGGAACACTGGAGGGGGCTGAGGCGAGGAGAGTTGGACGGGGGGTTTGAGGAAGCTTAGGGAGGGTGTGGGCAGCTCGAGGGAACAGAGGGGGTGGATGCTTGGCTATAAGGGACGAAAGAGCAGCTATAGGGGACGGAAGAGAATTTAGAGTGGAGTAATAGAGAGAGAATTACAGATTAAAATGGAAGAAAATCAAAATATTTTTGCGTCGACTAGTAGTTGCATGTCGAGTTGGTGCTGCGTCACGTTGAATGATTCAAAGCCTACGCGACACATATTTTAGAAAATTTGCTGCGAATCAGTGGGAAATTTGAGATCAATAAAACGGAAACATCAAATAGACATGATCATATTTCTAAAACGTTAGATATTTTCTTATGAGATAGAGGAACCTGTATGATATCCATTGAAGCGTGTATGGAATGGGATTGGTGGTTTACAACCAGGTTGTCACATACGCCCCCTTTTTTTTTTGCGTTTGATATTTAAATGTCCTTTTATGACGGCCTAACATACACACGTTGAGTCTAATAACGCGTGTCCCA